ATGGATTGGCGGCAGTGTTTCAGGACGTGGTGGGTTTTCGCCTGGCAAGCGTTCTCCTTATAAAAAGCCACAAATGTCCGTTTAACAACACTGCAACGTGGCAAATGTGACTCGCCACCGAATAAAGTGCCAGCCCATAACTTCACACTGGCAGCTCAATTAGAATCTTCATACTGCATAGCTTGCTCTTCAATTATCTTCCAATGGATCACTCAGGATTCTTTATCTATTATTAGTAGAGGCATGACTGCGATATATGGCAGAACGATTATGTCCAAACAAATGGATCCCGATCCCACTACAACCAAATCGTTCTTTCGCATGTTCACCATCGCACAGTTCCAAGCATGGACAAATGAACAATTTTCTACTGTCACTACAGTTCCCATAAAATGTCTGTACAGCTGTACATACCTGACCATGCCTCAATTGGCATGCCTCGCATAGTCGATAATAAAATATTTATTTATTTTATTTATTTATTTATTTAATAACCTAACAAACATAGCGCCCGTACTGGTCCCAAATGCCCTGCGGATCACCCACAACATTCTGAAACCCTTGCACGTAGCTTTCCTTCAGTTCTCACTGGATTTAAGTTCTGAAGACAACGTGACCCCTAGGTCTACCAATTGGGTAACATGGTGTAGTTCATTACCGCCAAGCAAATAACGCGTTTGGGGGCTAGTTGGTCCTGTACATAAGATGGAACACTTTGCATAATTTATGGGCAACTGCCACAGAGCAGCCCAGTCCCAAAGTATGTTGAGGGCCCGTTGCAGAGTCTGAGGTCCATCGAAGTCCGACACTACGTGCCAGAACTTTAGGTCATCTGCAAACATGAGAGATGGTACCTCCAGCCGTTCGGGCAGCTCGTTGACATACAATGAGAATAACAACTGTCCAAGCACCGTACCCTGAGGGACCCCACTGAGGACTGACTGTCGGAAAGACAGACAAGACCCCACACGAACACACATCTCGCACCCTTCCAGAAAAGTGGTGATCCGTTTTAGTGCACCCCCGGATATTCCACAGGACCGAAGTGTCAAGGAAAGGCGAGAATGTGATACAGTGTCGAACGCCATTGGAGGTGTCAATAAACACTACCCCACCTGCATGACCCCGATCCAAAGCATCTGCCCAACATACGCTTGCAACTAGCAAGTTAGAAATACAGGAATGACCCTTGCGAAAGCCGTGTTGCAGTGGACTGAGCAGATCATACTCCCGTAGGTGATCTTCAAGCACTTCTCTAACCAAATTCTCCAATACGTTGACCAATACGCTTGTCAAACTTACTGGTCTATAATTGGCAGGGAGATGCTTGTCGCCCTTTTTAAAAATCAGGCAAACGATAGCATCCTTCTAGTCCTTAGGAAAGGAGCAGATGCAAGCGACAATTGAAACAACCGCGTCACTCGGCCACATAGCTCGCTTGCGAGTCCGTACAGAAGCTTAGGGTGACAATCAACCATCCCAGCGGATTTAGCAGGATTTAGAACCTGAAGAAGGTGGAGAACTTTCGCCCGCGAAATTGTGACTTGTGTTAAACAGGAGTCCCCGGGGACACATTGCTAGGTCAAGATGCTGTAAATGCTCATTCCGAACAAAGTTCCGGCATACTGCGCACTGAGAAGACATGCTTTTTCGTGATCAGTGGTGGCGGTGGCGCCGTCGCTGCCTAATAACACTGGGATAGATGAGCCAAATTTAATACGCCTTTTGGCGTAAGCGAAGAATTTCTGGGATTCGCGGTGGCTGAGTTAACCAGCTCCATCTCATAGCTAAGTATAGCAGCTCGTAAATGACTCTTGCAGGCATTCCGAGCTTCATGATAGCGCCGAAAAGTACATTCTGAGAGCAATGTACGGTAAGTCCGCCAGCACCTTGCCCGTCTATTCATTATCTGGTTTGCGACTGAGTCTAACCATGGTGGCTTCGCTTTACTAATCTTCTTTACCGAAAGAGTGATGTGGGGGTGGTATGTGTTATAGAGGAAAGACTTAAAGGTATCCCAAGTCATCTGTATATCATCATCCGGCAAGATGATGCATGGGAAACTTACTGCCTTGGCTCTAATAGACGGAAAGTCGGCATGCCAAATGTTCGGAGTCCGGACCGTGTGTGAATCGTAGTCTCCAATGAGAGCACAAGTGAATGACAAACACGTATGGTCAATGGCTCCCAAAGGGGGGCCGTACTCAATGTCACTCACAAAGTCAACCGACTTTGCGAAAACTAGGTTCAACAGAGAAGGAGCATGACCCACCATGTACCTGGTGGGTCGATCGAGAAATTGGTGTAAGGGTACTTCTAGTGTCAAGTCAACAAGCTCGGCAGCCAACTCTGTTGTCGCTGCCTCATAAGATAGGTCATGCCACTTTACTTCAGGGACTTTGAAGTCCCCCATTATCAAGCATCTGTTCGCAGAGTGAGTGCGAATGAAGTCAACTAAACTAATAGAAGCGCTATCAGGGCTCCTATACGGCAGCACAATTTTAAATGGCGTTGTTTCGATACAGACTTCAACTGCAAGGGCTTCCACAGCTTTATCAGCCGAGTTAATGGTATGTGTTTGGATATGTATACACCACATCTGCTATACAAGGCGACACCACCGCCACGACGATCAGATGGAGGTTCAGATCCTAGTATTGCGTAGCCCTGAACGTATAATGCACTGTCTATGACATCAGAAGACAACCAGGTTTCAGTGAACGCGAGTACATCAGGATGTGAGTGGTCTAATAGGGCCCCTACTTCACACCTCTTTTTTCGCAAGCTACGCACATTACTAAGAACTATGTGAAAACGTTTGTTATGGAGAGCTCCGGGTCGTATGCTACCAGGATTGGCTCTGGTAGGGCGGAAGTGGACCGTCGGCTCACCACCCGAAAACCCACCAAACAAAAACCTTTCTCGCCAGCTTCGCGACGCGCTTTAAGCTTTTGATGGCTTCCTTAAGCTTCATCCTATTTGCTAAAGGTAGATCCGGCTGTATACTCACTCCGGAACCATTTAGTTTGAAGGCGAATCGCAAAGGAGCTTGGCGATCCTCCGGTGTAGACAGAACCACGCGTTATAGACGGGGTCTAAATTTAGTACTATCACCCTATATGTTTCCAAGCCTAGTAACTTGTATAACAGTAACCCAAGGAAACCGGGATGAGAGTTATTTAGAAACCTAAGGTTTGAACCAATGTAGATCGGCAAGCATGCGATCTTTCGGAAGAGTCGCAGAGGACTCCGAGATATTCCTGAAGATAACGCTGCTGCCCGTAAATTCATCACTGCGACGAGGGCTGTTTACGGCACGCGTCACCGTAGCAGTGGCCGGCGCAGCGCTTGAGTTCGTATCCTCCTTAGTAGGAACAGCAGGTGCACAGGGGAAGGATTTCGGCAATGAGATGGAAGGGTCTGCTGCCTTCGTTTCGGGGACGGAGCATCGACAGAGCCCACCGTTACACCTCCTAGCTTGGGTTTGGTTGTACTGATGGATTTTTTATCCTGCTCCGTTTCGCCTTCGCATATATACTGGTCTGTACAACTTCCCCTCTCACAACTAAGTTCAATATAAGTTCAGGTTGTTTAACATTTTCAGGCGCCGCCTCAAAAGTTGGTGAATCCTTCGAAGCCGTATTATTTATGCAATCGTCTGAACGCACGCTTGTTCTGAGATGGCCTGTACGTTGAAGGCTTACGATGATTTGATCAACTTTCCCCTCTAAAGGAATAAACAAAGATAGAAGAGTACCCACTCTATTCAGCAAAGTTTCAAATTCGTCATTTGGGACTAAACGACATGCTTTGTGCCTCACGCAACCAGGGCAATTATAAGGTAAATTATCGCTGTTTTGTAGGAGGATATACGGCTGCCTATCCAACGCAGTGCAAGCCTCATGGAACCAAGAACTGCAGAGGTCACATTGCATGCCCAAGAATAACCAGTAACTGGTTCTGAGCAATTCGCTTTACCACAAACAGCTGACGAAGCGGTCAGTGGGTCCGAGGGAGACTTGGAACCGGATATCTTTACCATAACGAAAGAGGAAAAGCTTTAACAGATAATAGGAACGTGAACCGGGGTACGTTAGGCTACAATGCAGACAACGTAAGTAGCAATCAGATAGAACCCGGAGTGATTTGTTTGCACAGCTTTGGACTCACCAGAACAATAACAGTAGCAACGAAGGAAAAAACAGGCATTTCTGTGGAATACCCTCCAAAAGCTGTTCTCCGATGGAGCTGGGAGAGACCGCAGGAGAAAGGGATCGATCAGCTTCGCGCGGTCGAATATCAACCCGATTTGTACTCGATCGATGAGATATCGACAACCGCCGAAATATTTTGCGTTGAAGTCTTCAAACATTAGACAATATAACAATTTAATATCCTCAAATGCTGGTACACTGGCAGTTTATGCTCAGAGTTATTCAACACTGTTTCGATAAAAGGCTTCCGAGAAGGAAAACTCAAGCGGAGAAACACGACAACCACGTCGTGACAAAGGTAGGCACACAAGAGATTCCGAGTATGTTGGCACTTACAAGTACTTTCGGATTACAAGACAAATGACAAAGCCAAATTTTCTATGTGGAGATGTTCAACTACTGTTATCAAAGAAGGATTTCAGTAAAGAAAATCTCGAGCGGAGAAACATGACAAGCAAGCCGTGACCTTGACACCCAGAAGGCAAAAGAGAAAGTGGAAGGAGCGAAGCAAGTAGAATACCAAGATATTTGTTATTAAAAAAGAACTGACGAGTGAATGTGAGTCAGTTGGGAACAAAGAAAGGTTGTGTTGCCATCCAAGAGCATCGAGCTTTCGCGCAAAACCCTTAAAGGTAGTTTCCCTAGCCACGAATTTCCGTCCTAATCCTATCAGGCCGGGCTTTATGCAGTCAATTATAGTGTTAATACCTAGCTTTTCCCCAATATGGGTGAAAACAGCAAATAAGGATTATGTTGTAATTTGTTTTTTTAACTCGAAGCATATATGCTTTGCGGCGTGGCCTTGGCACGCTGGATAAACTCCGGATTTGTGACGTCTTCACTGTAGTACGTCTGGTGTTTGTTTTAAGCCAGCAGGTAAGATGTCCACTTTATCCTAGCCTAGGAGATCATTGTCACTTCCTTTCCTTTGCCTTTGATTTTTCTTGTTGTTGCAGCAGTTACTTGCTGTTCGTACACACCCATGTATTTACCTCGCGCTCGGCCCTCTGTCGGCAGTTTTGACGTCGGCATTCACCTCGCCACGAAGTATATCAGGCACACCCTTTAACTAGCTCAGATTTTTATTAGGTTTTATTGAAACAATCCAGCCGCCTTTGAAGGTTTATGTTGTCTTTCAGCCCCTCGGTTTGTTTCGACCTTGTACCTCTTGGACACGGTAGCCCTCGGAACCCTCAATCGGACGCATACCATACATACGTTTCGTTGCCGTGTCCTCCTTCGAATGGGTTCTACTCATCAGTATGGTAACCAACAACGATATGGTTCAGCTGTCCCTTGCTGCTAAAAATGTAACACGCCAAGAAAAGCCAAGGCATATGAAGTATGATCAATTTTGGTCAATTTGATCAATTTCCAGGTACCTCAACGAGTTTCGAACACAACAGTGCCGCCTTTTCTTGGAACAGCAATGTCAGTTTCATCGTCCTTATACTTGTTTTCATTGGCATTTTCCCAATCAAAAGCGGAGAAGACCTTTTAAGCGTCCTGATGGAACTTTTAATTACAACCCTGACGTTTATTGTGACAAGTACGACGAGGCAACAGGATCATGTAATGATGGCGACCAGTACGTAACCTTTCTCATATTGACCTCGCTTCTTTTATTTGTTCATATTCGTTACCTTAGCATATGCTTACGCGTTCCCCTTTTGCTGTGATTCAACGCCTTAATTTCTCATATATTTCTGGTGTTCTGTCATCGGTCTATATGTACAACATTCGAGAAGCATGACCCCACCTGTTTGTTGAAGAACAAGGATAAGCTAGAGCTTCCCAGCGAGGTAACTTCCAACCACCAAGAACTCATCCTAGCCTTACTGCATTGTTAACATGTTTTCCCCACTCCTTACTCAGCGCAAATCACTTTCAGACCTCCAAAACCCAGTAGAGCGTTTGTAAGCCACGCTGATTTGTACTTAAAATTAGTCTCGGTGACACGGCTGGAGACAAACATCTGTCACTCACCGGAAGCTCATCGGTGTTTCGCGCCCACGGTTATATTCGGTGGTTATCGTCGGCGGGTGGCTGAGTGGTATACGCGTCTCGTTTGCAACCATAAGGTCACCGGTTCGAGTCCGCGTACGGGCGGACGTCCTCGCGGTATACAGCCCACGCGCGACGTGGTGGTGTCGTGGCAGCGAAGCGCCGTTACGGCGTACACCTGGCGATTTATTTTATTTATTTTAAGTTATGCAATATATTACGTAGTGTTGTTCTTTCGTGCCGTTTCTTCTGTTCGCACTGTGCGTGTGACCCAAAATCTTATTATGGCGTCTAAACGTACATCTTCGCAAGCAGTGAATTTTTAACTCTCTGTTAGGGACATGTTCAACTAACGACTTATCACACTACTATCGTCCTCTTTCGGCTAACTGGTAAAAGGTTACCTCGGCCACCATCAAACATTTTGTTCCCCATACTGGGATCTACAGAAGATGGTCCCCGTTTTAATTTTTCGGCATGACACCTATCCTAATGCGGAAACTTTTCAACGAACTTGGACCTGTTTTATGAAACATAGTTGTCATTCAAGTTACAGTAACAAAATACATTTCCTTACATTGGATTGGTGGCATCTTTTTCCCTTGACTGTCACTGTGGACTTCTTAGAACAGCCACGGGACGCCTCTACCTACTGTGGGACCATGGTTGGCTTGCGTTGCACCACGCATAGCTCCATCCATACCTTTGTAGTATTTTAAATTACCGTTTTATAGCAAAAGCCAGTTTTACTGCGCACCAGAACCGGACGGACTTATTTTCACTTGTGATGACAATGTGTAGTCTTGGTTCTTGATTATCTAATCGCTCTACATGGGTACATAGTAAGGAATTTACCCCGGCCTGTTAATCATCAGACTGTTCTCGCAAGATGGCTAAATCCTGTCTTGTGAAAAGTACCGATTCTCGGCTCTCCTAACTTAGAGATACAGCTGTGGTACCACTGGTTCTCCCTAGAATCGACTCAATTCCGATCAGTTCAGTTAAATGACTATGATTTCGGCACCTCGGTGCATTGAATCCAGTTACCATGGCTCGCGTCTTTAGGATAACGATACATAACAGCTGTGTGAAAATGAGGTAAACGAGAACACAATGTGAATAAAAGAATTCTGGGATCCGGATAGGATGTTAACAGTCGGATATGAGAAGCCGAATGTTGGAACGCATCACATTGCACTACGCCGTGTCTGATAGGTTCTTCATTGATGTGAACCATCTCGATGCCTCCATTCAAAGACACGCATTTTCCTGACTAAGTCCTTCAATCAACTTTACGCCTTTTTGCCGCCATCTACTGGCCACCCCACGAGCTCGCTCAACTAAGGGCGGCGACAGCGTCTAATGCACACCGGAGGTAGTTGACTTAAAAGATACGGCTGAACCAACGTAAGTGGTTAGTTTTTGAAGCACTAGTGAAGAACCAGGGTTTCTTCCCAAACGCTAACTGACGGACCTCTGCTCACTCGGTTTCCACCAGATGTGAGCAGTACTTCACAAGCACCAGTAGTCAGAGTCAATCATTTACTGTCTTCAGTGCGACAACAATAGCAGTAGATCAACCAACGGGATTTATACCGCTGCCGTAAGATTTCAGTGACTTTGGAAGTGAAAAATAGGAGAAACTGGTGGTTCAGTGTAGAACCTACATGCCCTAAGCAAGTAGTCAGGGCCAAAGTGCCTAAACCTTAACAACGGCATGGTCACAAACAACTGACTGCCTTGCTACGATAAGGTGGCATCGGCGAAACACATTCCTTGTGGCCTTTACTGTCCCGTGCGCAGCTTTCATTTCCGTACGAACTGGGAAGATCTGATCTACACAGTATCATTTGCCTTAGCGCTATACGCCCACCACTGGCTGACAGGCTGAGTTCGACTCATAGTGTGTCATGATGTGCTTCTGCTGGCGGCCCTATCTACAAAAAAGTATCTCTCCGCATCGCTAAAGCCCGATCAGCATTTGTCACTCTGAGGCACTTGTGGCGTCGTCGTCACATCTCCCTTTCGATAATGGGCCGTGTTTACGGTGCCTCTGTTTGTTCAGTGTTGCTGTATGGGAGCGAGTCCTGGCCACTTCGCGTAGAGGACATGCATCGTCTTTCCGTCTTGGACAACAGTTGGTGGGTGGGGATCGAGTGTTTGTGTTGGCAGCATCTTGTTCACAGTGATGACGTTCCTTATCGCATCTTGGGGAATGCTTGTGTTCCTTTCAACAAGCGTGTTGTGCTGCGCCTGTTGAGATGCCTCGGTCACGTCCTGCGCATGTCGTCTGAACGTTTTCCGCGCCGCGCTCTTAGCTCATCCAGGACAGGGTTGGAATCGACTGCGTGATAGTCTTGCCTTCCACCTGCAGACACCATATAAACTCGTTGACGTAACATGTCGCCTCCGTTGAATCGGTACGTCTTCATGGAAGGTGACCCAAGGATGTAGTATGCCAATAACATGCTTGGAGGTGTGGCATGCAACCGGAATCAATGGAAGAATTGTGTACAGAATTGTATGGATTCACATGTTTAGTGCACCGAACATCGAAACGGACAAAAGAGAAGAATTGGTGCGTGAAAAACAAACTATTCTCATGGTTTTTTGTTGTCTCCATGTTCATTTTTTGGGAATAAAAGTACAATATGACGAAAAACAGAACGAAACATTTAGATATTTTTCCACGCCGATTCCGGTTCCGTATTTGACTGTCACTGTAGCCTCCATAAGACAGCCACAGGACGCCTCTGCCTACAAAGGGACCATGGATGGTTTGCGCTGCTCCATCCCCCACCTTCCTATATACAATGTCGACCCACAGGAATGAGACCGGGAGGCTGTTGTTGGGAGCCACGTTTCATCAACGGAGCCGGCCCACAATGCTTCAACAGGCAAACTGAAGCACTAATGCCTAATTCCGAAATCATGCGTACCAGACGTACACAAGGCGGTAGCTGGGCCATTGCCCATTCCACAGTGGCTGCTTATGTAGCGCTTGTACAATCGTACTTCTTTCTATTCGCATCGTCATTGCAGTTTCTTTTATTTACTTCGATCAGTACATTCTTCTTCGAATCTCGTTCTGCGTTGTCGATCCGGTCTGCTACGTGCGTCTTCGTTGTGTTTACTCGGCGCGGTGATCGCTCAAATTTCTAGGAAATATCGCGCTGCGCTAGACTCCGGATCTCACCACTAGACTGGGAATCATTCGAAGTCGGAAGCCTACCGCTGATCATTGACTGCTTTTCTGCCTAAACCGACTGAACGATAGCTCGCCCGCTACTTATTTAGTGACCTCGTTTCGCATTTAATTTTGGCTTTCTTTAACACTACTTTCCTTTGAAGCTCAGAACTCCCGTCTTTTTTCCATGTCATTTTAACGCGTTTCCCCTAAAGCTACACATGAAAATTTGGTTATTTTTGTGCCTGCTTTTGATACGTCTAATCCTCATGTTTGGTTTTTATAGTTGGAGGCACTTTTCCGTTGTCGCAGTCCATCGTGTTTTCTTTTGTTCCTGCACACCCCCACTTGTATGGCCGCTGATGTCCTAGATTTACTTGACCCCATTCCCACTGATGCACCTTACAACAAGCTCAAACTTGTTATTCCAAAGCGCACCTCGCCTTCCGATAAAGCCCGACTTCAGCAACACCTCTCAGGTGATAAGCTCAGTAACTGCACACCTTCACAACTTCTCCGCTACATGTGCTTTTTAGTCGATACTACCAAGTTCGACGACGGTGTTTTGCGTAAGCTTTGGACAAAATATCTCCCAACAAACACCACAGCGATTCTCGCCGTGTCCGCCGTTGATGTATACTTGGATAGGCTAGCAGACTACAGACAAAACCAGTGAATGTTTTTTAAAGCTTTCGATTCGCCTACAACTCGCTTTCGGAAAGCTATTCTCTCGAGTCATTAGCTTACGGGTTATCTGAAATTCAGCTCAAACTTTCGAGCATTCGACACCTTCACAGTTTCAGATAGACGAACTTTTTCGCGGAAAGCAGTACATCACTGTTACTAACACCGACATTTTGGTGACGCAGCTGGGACTTGTCGCCTTTGTTGCGCTCACCCCAAAGCATCTAGCACAACGCAGCAGGGAGACGATCAAGCCAGTCAGTAATGGCGACGGCTGCCGCTGGCCAACCGTCCAGTCGCCTGCTTTAGGTCCACGACTCCGCAACCAACCTAGTTATCGGTGTCGAGGTACGCACTGAACCTTAAAGAACGGGAAAACGCTACCTACTCTCTACCGGAATTACGCTTCAGGAGGTTAACTACAAGATCCACACATACGGCCAGAAACTGCTAACCCTTGCTCTCGGACTCAGGCGATCATTTCCCCTCGTCTTTCTCATCGCGCACATCCAACATCCTGTCATTGGCGTCGACTTTCTTACAAAGTATGGCCTGGTTCTAGACCTACGGTGCAAGAAACCGTGATAGTGTCACATCACTTATCGTCCCGGTCAAAGTTTCCTCGATCAGCTCAATCGGCCTACGAATGTCGCTCCCCACCGATGGCATAATCAGTGAATTACTTCATCAATTTCCTACTTTAGTCTACAGTC